TTTGAAAAAAAATTATTGTCATTCTATCGGGATTTATCTAGAAAGACGAAATTTTATGAATCATATTGCAAATATTGTCCTGAGCTTCAAATAACTAGAAAAGGTTTGGGTTTTATGGTAGTTTGGAGACACCACTGGGTGTTAAGCCATCCTTTCAGGTAAATTCGCGCCCTAATTACTTTTGGAAATACCCTTCATTCCCAGTATTTTTGTTCGTTAGTTAAGTGTATTAATGGTACGTTTATTAGTGGTGATCGAAGGGACGTTATACTGTTATTATTTTTCATCGTGAGTTTATATTGAAAGCATTTAAAGGGATACAAGATACAAGTGTATAAATATGTCGAAGATAACTCAAATTAACTTATGGATTAAACCTTTTCCTGAACTTATTCTTCAAGAACAAACTGTACTTTGTCGTGCCTGCCCTAAACCGGTAAGTATTTTTACATCTGTGGACGTAGTACGCAGTTTTTCTATTTACAAATACATTTACTTTAGAATCACCGGAATAACTTTTTGTTAGAATATTTCGAAAAATATCTAAAAATAAATTGTTACCAAAATAGTAATTAAATAGTGGATTACTACTATTTTTTAATTTGATCTGTTTATATTTATTTTTTAGTATAAGAATATTATCTTTAAAAACGTGATTTATGTGTTCGTGAGATGTAATTAAACACTTTGCAATGTGATTTATGTATTTTTTGTAACAAAATGTAAGCTCGGGAAACCTGTTTTTGAATTTTTTTAATAAATTCAGTTCGCTTATTAAGCTTTTTTTTTAATTTTTGGAGCATATGCAACTGCATATATCTGCATATATTAAGAAAGTTACTGGATATTTGCATAAATTTGGTGCATATCATATGATCATATTTCTCAAAATTTTGTTGCATATTTTCCGCTCTCTACTGATAAGTTTAGTTATTAGGCATAATTCCTAAAATGTCTAGTTATTTCGGATTTCGGATATTAGCTGTAACATATACAGCGTGAGTCATTAAGAGCTGTTCCCTCGATATGTTATTAATTATTATGCAAGATAAAAAAACATCATAAACTAAAATTGTACCGTGCATTGAGTAGCATACATAAAAATCAATTTCGACTGTACATAGTTTTTGTCTTTGAGGCGTAGCAGAGAAATTATGATTCTTATTGTTTTAATAGAACACGCTATATATATTTACATATTCATTCACTCGGTTCATCATCAGGTTTTATAATCATAGTTTATTTTTGAAATTTCGTTGCCCCGTTATTTCAATTTTCTTGAAATTTTTGGCAATGCAAGGATTCACAAAAATCATAATAATGGCATTTCTGCGCACTGCATTGTGGTATACTGAGCACTTATACATAATCTGGATCTTACTATAGTTTTAATTTTAATTCTTTTTTGATGTGTAGAAAATACTTAACTAAAACAAAGAGAACAAGAGCAGAATACGATGTAGTAATAAAATACAGGGTGGTGTATTTGAAATCATTGAAATACCGATATTTGAAAATTGTAATAATTCGAATATTTTCGTGAACACTCTGTATAATAAGACTCAATTTTATTTATACCACAACAAAGCGCATAGCGTTCTTTATCTTTACGCAAAATATTGTAACACAGTTTTTAAAAATAGTTTGCGATTTTTCTTCAGAACACTTCCGTTGCTAAAAAATTTCAAGAAAATTAAGAGTTCGAGTAGAATATGTAAAAATGTAGGGTGCTCTATTAAAAAATCTAAGTTGTGTGTTAGCCCTTATAAACAGAACACTCTGTATAATTAAAAGTGATCTGAGTGTATGATCCTCAAATAATCCTACAGTTTCTGTATTCAGCTTTTTTTTCTATTTGTAATAATTAATGAGCTATCCAGAAGCGCGTTTAGTGATTCCACCCTGTACAGAGCGTTAAAAAAAAATCTTAAATCTTTTCAAATATCGATTTTTTAATTTTTTCAAATAGAACATTCTGTATTTTATTACTACATTTTATACTATTATTGTCCTCTTTCTTTCAATAGGTCAAGTGTGCCTCCTAAAAAAGTAAAAAACCGCAATAACTATGAATTTTATATACAGAAAATGCTTAACATAATGGAAAGAGAACAAAAACAGAATAAGATGCACTAATAAAATACAGCGTGTTCTGTTTGAAGAAATTGAATTGTCGATATTTGAAAATTATAACATTTTGATTAATGTTTTATTGACACTCTGTATATTAGAACTCAATTTCATTTACACTACAAACAAGTGCGTACCTTTATTTATCGCTCCAGAAAATATTGTAACACGGATTTAAAAAAAAACCCTAGTGCGATTTTTTTTCCTGAATCCTTCCATAGCTAAAAAGTTTCAAAAAAATTGGAATAACGTGGCAACGTTGCATGGGAATTTCAAAAATTAACTTATGGTTATAAAACCCAACAAAGGATCAGTAAAAATATAAAAAATATATAGGGTTGTCCAAGTTAAAATTCCACAGCCTTGTATCTTGAGAACGAATACAGAAATTCGTAAACGCCTTTGTTTTTAGTTTGAAGGGGAAAGCTTTATTTGGTACACTGCAAATATGACGCAACGTATAATTTTTTAGTGGATTTTGATAGACCATTAGATTACGATTACAATTATATGAACACTTAGATATCTAGTGCACTTTCAGTTGATAAAAAATTGGTCGAAGGTTATTACGACAGGACTTCCCTCGCCATAAAATTTATGAACATAAAAAAATTAAAATCAACTAAAGTAAAGCTCCTCTTACTTTATTTTATAATCACGAAGACCTGTTTTAAAAGCCATTATTTTGGCATATGTTCGAACTGTTGTAACATACAGGTAGTCCTTCATTTCACCTAACTTTCATTTTTTTATGTCAATAAATTTTATATTTTTTATCAACTGAAAATGAAATAAATATCTAAAAGTATATCATTGTAATTGCAATTTAACGGGTCAATCAAAATTCGCTAAAAATATGTACGTTGGAATTAAAAAAATATATATATGTTAAAATTAAGCTTTTCCTTTGCAGAATTTTAATATATCTATCCGTCCTCAAGGTAGAAGGCCGGCGAGTTTTAACTGGGAGCCTGTATATATTGTTACGTTGATCGGTGATAAAAAATCGGTTATGTACATAATAATTCCGGCGCAACTGAACCCTATCTTGATCGAACTCGACTCGTTAACTGAATAATAATCGTTCCCGAAAAAGACCTCTATTTAAACCCATACTTCCTTTCTAGCAGTTGCGCGGTCGAGATTTTTCTGAAGTACCCATCGCGAGCCTTTTCTTTAGGGAATGCCGCCTGGCCGCCGTCACCGATCGTTCCTGTGCATACTAGACAGCTCTCGACGGCCCATAGACGTCGTACCGGGATGGCGTATGGGTTTATTTCGTAACAATACATATTTCATTCTTAAACTACGTATCTTCTCGAGAGTAACTCTCACGAGAGTTCTGATTTTGGTTTTATATCGTCTTTGGTAAAAATTTCCAAATCCACATTTCAGAATTTTATTATTGCAGTAAGCTATTGTTACAGTGAAACATCTAAATAGACTTTTCGGAGATCGTACTTCTCAATGAGGGCAGGTCCGACCATAGTTATACCTACTTATCTCGGAAGTATTTCTCTCAAGTGGACAAAAGTTTTACATTCTAGTTTTTGTCATTCAATATACCCCGCACTCACAAAATAAGAGAATCCAAACTAAATTATTTGTCGCTAAATATACCCATTTATACTATACTTTTAAAAAATATTCCAGAGAAAATATTTTCTACATTTCCAATTGTTTTCCAATTAACTCCAAAATTGAGAATTCAGAGACATTTAAAAATAATGTTGAATCGCATCGCCCTGATTGAAAAAAGAAAGATATTGGGGGGAGCTGCAGGTAATATGTAGATTTAAAAATAACTAGTAAGTAGGATAATTTAGTCCAATAAGGGTACCAATTGAAAGAGATCAAGAATTTGTCTTGTAATAAATAATAGGTATTTGTGATTTTTTTTTGAGCTTATATTCTACCAGCGACCTTTTTCACTGTCCCTAAATTATTTACATACAATAAGTGTTGTCAGAATTTCTGACAACTGAACTGAGTATTGTTTGAAACAAAGCCAAATCAAAAGAAAAATTTTAGAGACAAGTGGAAAGTATTCTAATTCAAGATATGGATGTGCCTTCAGGAATGATTTAGATTTCTAGCTTGAGAAAAATATCCTCAGTATTCTTTCAGATTTACAAAGCGCCATGTTATTGTTAGGATGGTGGAAAGAAATCGTTCATATTTTTTGTTTTTTTTTTTCACCTCTCTAGTTCCTTATATTCTAGTTTTTATCACTTCATATACCCCACAGAATCCAACTTAAATTAAATATCACAAAATCTACCAATGTGTTGTTTAAACTTTAAATAAACGAAATAGTCTTCTTAATTTCGTGTTTAATTTGTTTTATTCGTGTAATTTTCCACATCACCTGTTCGGGAGCGCTTTCCATTATGTTTTTTTTTCCACAACACAACGTTGCTTGTTTTTCCTCATCAATTCCAAACCTCTGTGTTATTTTCGGTAGATACGTATTCTAAAGCATCATTTCCGTCACCATAAAAAATTCAAAATAATTTGCTAATAGTTCGGCTCTCACGGATTACAACACACTCAAGTGTCTACAACGTGTAAACTCCTCCAGCGCTCCTCCCCCACGTCAATCATCGCCTGTCCCCCACACACGGTGTTTTTTCGCCCCTCCCATCTCCTCCCCGGCTTGTAAACTTGAAGAACGCCCCGAACAGAGAATAATTGCGGCTCGGCGTCCTTTTATAATAGCCTTTTTATCCCCGACGAGAGAATTAATGGCAATTTTTTCGTGGTTAGTTTCGCTAAACGTCCTGCGGCCGATGTATCGCATAAAAGTTGACAAAAAAGTGACAAGGGTGTGTGCCCGAAGGCGGAAAAAAGGGTTCAAGTGAAGCACTTACCTCTCTCCGTACACTTCGGAACGCAATCCCTCACGGTCGACCCTTCGCTTATGTATTTCTGAAACAAAAGGACGACATTTGCGTTATCTGGCTTTGTGAGATCGCAGGTTTTGAGTGAGCGATGAAATTATGCATGACGGTGAGGGAGCTTTCGCGCCATTTATGACGCAATTGCGGAAAAAATCACAAGGGGTTTTAGGGGTTGTAAAAAATTGCCGGATACTCAGCTGATGGGAGATAAGTTCAAGACGTCGAGATTTATTTTGTTTACGTGGATATGTAAACATTTATTGGGGGCAACACGGAAATGGGACGGAAATAATTTGGATGGATTTGGGGGAGAGGATCGTTTACCTATTATGGGCGACTGGAGGACGCACGGTTTAAAATATTTAAAACTAAGGAGATGACATTTTAATACGATTTCGAGATAATATAGTGTGGAGTGCCAGCGGAACGCGACATATGCATCTATATAAATCTAAAGTCAGTTCCGCTTTGCAAAGCATTTTATATGGAAGAATTTGCGATGGTGTTCTCAATTATCCAGAAACCTACCGATTGATAGAATCTTACACAAATTATCATAAAGTTTTTGTTATTCCGCTTTTGTTTGTGTTACAATTCTATTTTAATGTTAAAATTTCATAATAAATAGAATTATTTCTTAAATTTTCATAATTTTAGAAGTGCCTACGTTTTTTTGATTTTTATCACGGCATATTGCTTACGAGTTTTGTATGATTCCAAGTCAAACCGGAACGCACAATAGAACGAATTAATGTAAGAAATTCTTCGCTGCCTCCAAAACCACCGAGGATATAAAAATAAGACTTACGAAAAAAGCTTTCAGCGAGTAAACTTTCATATTCCAAGATATTCTCATACATACGGGTGTTTTTTGCGGCCATTAAATTATAATTCATTGTTGTAAATTGTATAGACTAATCTAAGAGAGTGGGACGAATTCTACTTACTCTACTCAGCTAACTAAGTTAAGTAACGAGTTACATTACTGCACTCGGTTTATATTAAAAACAGAAAAAAGTCGAAGATAAATTATTGCCATTACGCACAAGTTACTGCATTGTTATCGTTAACGCATTATTACGTAGCTCTCCTAATTGTTGTTAAAATTCACACTCGTCTGGTAATAAAGCTTTTTCCCATGACTGTTCGGTCAAGTGTGTTTCGAAATGCAGGGTTAACACAAAACTTATTAAAGTCTCGGGAGCAACCCGCATTTTGTACTCATTTCTCACTCATAATATGAATTATGGTATTCGCCTGCGGATCATACCTAGCCTCGTGAGAAATGAATAACTGTACATGCACGTTGCGCAATATATTATTATCCCACTCGTAACGTCAACAACTCCATGCATTTTGAAGTGCCTTTACATAGTGCATAAAATAGTGCTTATGTTTGAAGCTCGGATATCATAAATGTTTCTTAAAAAAATTATTTTGAGGGCATGGGGTCCACCGGGAAATTTACAAAGTGAGGCTCTGTGGTATCGTATACAAAGGTTGTGTGGGTATTATTATTATTATTATTTTCAGTTTTGCTGGCGACATTGGTTCCCAAGAAAAACAAGTATAGTCCCACAAATTCCGCTTCTTTAAAAAATTATAAAATTAGATTTTGCGGTTTTCGTTTTGTGATAGGTAACTGTTAACCTCTATAAAATGGCGGAATTAAGATCACCGCAGCTTTTGCGTCTTTAAATATGAAATATATTTAAAGCAGGTTACTAACGGGAAAAAATATAGACAATCTCAATTTCTCAGTACATACTTAACTTCGATTGTTTATACTTCGACCGAATTCGACTTTTAGCACGTTCAGATTATAAGCATCAGTGGTTAAAGGAAAATGAAATTTGGTTGAATTTGTGTACTCAACGCAGAGGAAAGGACACAAAACAATCCTAAAATATCTTCATGATTTCGCAGCATTCGGTTTTTGCAATTTCAAACTTAAATTGAAAAATATTGTTATACAATATTGGCTTTTTTTTTCCAAAAATTTGGATGCTAAGGGTATAAAGTCAACACGGATTCATAAATCACCCATGCAAGACTATGTTATTTTATCAGATTTAAAGAAATTTTGGGGAAGCCTTAATCGAACTAATTTTGGTTAACGATTTATCATCTTTCCTATAACCTTGAATCGTTTGGAATATTTCAGTACATTCGCTTTTGCCATTTTAAAAATAAATTGTAAAATACAATTTTGAATTTTTTCACAAACATCTCGATGTCGAGGGGAAAAACTCAACACAGATTCTAAATTACACCTACATGGAGTATGTAAAATTGTATAAAATTTAAGGAACATTTGTTATGCAAAATTATAAAATTTATACCATGCTTACAATAATCTTAAAAACTTGCAAGTTTTCAAAGAATTGGGTTTTACAATTTTAAAGTTAAATTGTAGAATGTTGTTATACAATTTTGATTTTTTTCTCAAAAATCTGGATGTCTAGGGTGAAAACTTAATACGGATTCATGAATCATACATGCAGGAGTATAAAATTAAATATATTTAATCCCCAAAAAGGGGCAAATTAGTAAAAAGTAAAATGGTACGTTTAAAAAAAATGCATTAAAAAACTTCACAATAAGAATTGACATTTTTATTTCATAAAAAAAATCAACAAAAAACTTCCCCCTCAAAGTTGGACTGTTTGCTTAAATAAAATGATACAGTATCTTATAATAGATGAAAAGGCAGATAAAAAATAGCTTAAATATATGAAAAAAAAATGTGGGGTGAAACGTATTTACCATTTTACTTTCTACTGATTTCAATTTAGAAATTTAGATTTATACATATTTGGTAAATATAAATCAAAGAACATTTATTCGGCAAAAATTTTTAAATGATGTGATTATTGTTTTAGAGGGCCATCATAAATGAAAAAAAATTAATTAACGATTTACCATACTTACAACCTTAAAACGTTTGCAAAATTTCAGGCCATTCGGTTGAGCAGTTTCAAAGTTAAATGGCAAGATGTTACAACTTTGATTTTTTCTCCAAAAATCTGGATGTCTAGGATAAAAGCTCAACAGGTTCATAAACCACAAATGCAGGCGTATCTAATTTTATAAAATTTAAATAAAATTTACTGTTGTAAATTTTGGACATGACGTCAACAAATTGTTGGTAAGGATGATTATCCAAATTTTGATTAGAGTTTTACCACCTACACGATATTCGTAATCCACATATAAAATTTGACAACTGGTTCAGTAGTTTCAGAGATTATCTGGGTAATAAAATCCAGACAGGCGGCAGACAGACAGACAGACAGACAGACAGACAGACAGACAGATAGACAGACAGACAGACTGACAGACAGTCAGACAGACAGAAACGGGAGACCTATTGTTTCGTACTGAGTTTACACTGTAAAAAGATGCTCTTATTTAATATTATTTACATATATAGTTTTTTATGCGTCTCTATTATTTTTAATATTTGTAACTGTAACATCTTGGATATATGAAAAATGTAAATAATTGTACATATAAGAAATAAAAAAGTAGGCACAATCCGACAGTGTTCGATTTCATCTTTGAGACAAATCAAAGACATTGTATATACACCCTTAAGTAAAATATCGTTTAGTTTAAATTTATTAATTCCCGAGCGTAAGCAAAGGAAGTATTGTAATCGAGTCCGTCGGCCGACTCTCTACTTTTGCATTTTCTCAACGTATCATGACCCTAGAGGACGAAGAACTAGGTCTCCCGTTTCCATTTGTCTGTCCGTCTGTCTGTCTGCCGTCCCAGATTTTTATTAGACAGATAATCTCCGAAAGTACTGGGCCGATTGTTGTCAAATTTTGTATTTATATTAGGATTAGGAATATCATATAAATGGTAAAACGCTAACCAAAATTTGTCTAATCATCCCCACCACTAATGTGATGACGTCACTTGTTGTACATGGTAATTGGGTTCTAGATTGTATCAAATAACATAGTCTTACACATGTAGTTTATGACTCCGAATTGAGATTTTACCCGAAACGTCCAGATTTTTGGAAAAAAAATCAAAATTAGGAAACGACATTTTGACATTTAATTTGGAATCTACAAAACCGAATGCTTTGAAATCTTGCAGATGGTTTAAAGTTATGATAAGCATGATAAAATTTTAATCACAATATATTTACTTATCCCCTCCAAAAAATTTATGACGTCAGCTCAAAAGTTTGCTTAATATATCCCATCTAAAATGTACAAAATATGATGAGTCTGTACTTGTGATTTATCATTTCATTAATATTGTTTAAATTCACATATACAGGGTGACTCAAAAAAATTAATGAATGCGTGAATATATTTTATTGATTTAATCACGAACTGCAAAATCGAATGCTTTGAAATCATGGAGATGTTTTAAAGTGATCATAAACATGGCAAATTTTTAGTCAAAATGTATTTGCTCATCCCCCCTAAAAAATTGATGATGCCATCCCAAAATTTTGCTGAATAAATCCCATCTAAAATGTACAAAATATGATGAGTCTCTTCTTGTGATTTATCATTCCATAATTTAATCAGGAACTAAGGAACCGAATGCTTTGAAATCTTGAAGATGTTGTCAAGTAATAATAGGCATGGAAATTTTTTTATCAAAATATATTTTCTCATCCCACCTAAAGAAATGATGACGCCTCCCCAAAATTTTGCCGAAAAAAATGTGCTATCTGAGATTTGTAAAGAATGATGTGTCTATACTTGTGATTTATCACTGCATTAATATTTTTTAGATTTGCTTATACGGGGTGCCTGAAAAAAATTAATGACTGAGTCAATTTATTTTAGATATTAATAATTAAATCCTGAATTACAAAACTGAATACTTTGAAATCTTGCAGACGTTTTTAAGTCATTGTGAGCGTGGTAAATTGTTAATCAAAATAAATCTGATAAATCTGGGCAGGTCAAGTCAGGTCAAATCAGGGCAGGTTAGATCAGATCACGTTACGTTAAGTCAGTCATAACGTAGTACAGTCTTTATATTTATAATATACTT